TAAATATAGCGTTCACTTAAACTGATTCTGTTAGGAGTCCAACATACGTCCACATCTGAACATCACTGTAGTAACACACTGACTGTGTAGAAGTACAAGATACAAACATCACGTCTGTCTCTTTGAAGAGCTGCAGACTTTAATAAGCTCATGAGCACCATCTACAGGACAGACCTGCAACAGCTTCTAGTGTTGACACCTGCATTTAACTGAAGGTTTACATTTTAAACCCTAATGAACCTCGTGTCTCTAAGTGGTTTTATAGAGGGGGGGGTGAAAGTCTTCCTGAGGAGGTGAAGACAACAGAGAAGGTGAAGCACTGCTGCAGTCCCCGTCTCCACCTGAAGGGGGTGCCGGTCTGCAGCCGGACGAAGGTGATCAAGTGGAAAGCAAAAAGAAACGCTTCACTTCCTGTTTCCAGGAGGAAACGCTTCACTTCCTGTTTCCAGGAGGAAGCCGGCAGGAATGCGTGAAAATTAAGTAAATTAAAGAGTCAACTCCTCAACTTTAAACTCTTAAGAGAATCCACCTGTCACTCAAACACCCACCGGTCTGTGGCCTGGTGTCAACAGAGACCTGTCCTGCTTCAGAGTCCTGCAGAGTCCCGCAGAGCCCTACAAAGTCCTGTAGAGTCCTACAGAGTCCTGTAGAGCCCCACAGAGTCCTACAGAGTCCTGTAGATTCCCACAGAGTCCTGTAGAGCCCCACAGAGTCCTGTAGAGCCCCACAGATTCCCACAGAGTGCTGTAGAGCCCCACAGAGTCCTGTAGAGCCCCACAGAGTCCTGTAGAGTCCTCGCTGATGAGCAGCTGGTAAATAAGATCCAGATGACGTGGATATCGATGGATGAGCCCCTCTCTCTCCCTCTCAGACCGCCTCCCTGACACCGTCCCGGTCTTTGGTGAACTCAGGACACCACAGGACTCATGTCCCACAGCTGTGGACAGACAGGAGACACATTTCTGCTGATTCATGAGATGAGTCATGAAAAATAATTTAAATATGGTTTGTTTTTGGATCTGACGCTCGTAACGACGTCACCAACACGTCTTATCTGAGAATACTACAAACAATACTACAGTTAAATTCTAAATATAATACTCCCGTCCAGACCTTGAGGACCTTGTCGGTTCCTGAGGTCAGCAGGTTCCCGGTGGTCGGCTCGTAGTGCATGTAGACGATGCCGTGCTTGCTGTCGTGGAAAGTGACCGTTGGGGCTCGACTACGAGACACAAAGGGGAGGAGCTTTACTCGTGCCATCAGAGCGGTTCAGAGTGAGACGGTAGCAGACAGACGGGTACTCACTCCTCGTCGCTGATGGACTCGCTGCAGCTGTCGCACACTCGCACCTCGAACTCGAAGCCCATGAGCGGGATGGTGGAGCGTCTGGACGAACACTTACCGCACACGGCCTGACCGCACTTCCTGCAGTGATGCTGAGGAAACAAAGGAGGAAGGAAACAGTCTCACTTCCTGGAGGGGTTAGCGGTAGCTTAGCAACCAGTGGACCAACGCGTCCCAAATTAAGTCCAAAGTCCTGAACTTACTGTCGTAAAACTACAGACATACAACTTTAAATGATAGACATGCACGACTGTCTCATGATCTATAACTGTGGACATTTAAAAGAACATAAGAGGAAGAAGAAGGAGGAGGAGAAGAAGGAGGAGAAAGAGGAGAAGAAGGAGAAGAAGGAGAAGAAGGAGGAGAAGGAGGAGAAGAAGAAGGATAATAAGGAGGAGAAGAAGAAGAAGAAGAAGAAGGAGGAGAAGAAGGAGAAGAAGAAGGAGGAGAAAGAGGAGAACGCGAAGAAGAAGGGGAGAAGAAGGAGGAGGAGGAGAAGAAGGATAATAAGGAGAAGGAGAAGGAGAAGAAGGATAATAAGGAGAAGAAGAAGAAGGAGGAGAAGAAGGAGAAGAAGAAGGAGGA